CCGTCCCGTTTTGCATGTTTCTCGGAAGCAAAATGAGCAAGAACGCTCGTTTTTACATCATTCCAGAGATAACTAAACGGCCTTTATTCGAAGTTTATCAAGAACCATTCGAGCCACAGAATTCGTTTTGGCGTCGTTGGATAGAGAATTGAATGGGGAGGTCATGACCCTCCCCCTAGATCCGCCCTTGGTGCCATCTGCTTTTCAGTTGGAAATTGTTGAACTAATCTTGACAAAAAAGTGTCGCTAAGTGTTTTGAAGTTTCGGAAAAACGCATTTTCATGAAATACAGTCGGTTATTAGTGAAAGTAGGACTTGAAAAGCGAACTCTATGGGTTTGAGGGGGTGAAACGGGTGTGGAAGCTCTGAAGCCATTCAATTTGAGGTATGTGTTAATTGCCTTTAGAAAATATTATTTGCAGTAGTCTAAAGTCTTCGCACACTGACATTAAGGCTTAACTTTATGACGACCGGAGAAAATACTCCTGGTACATACTACTTAGGTAGACTTAGTACATCATATACCAGATCATTACCATTAATAACGCGATCGGTAAAAACACAAATCTTCGACCCAGTAAGGGATTCGAACAGATTGCAAGCAGCCACTTCCGCATATGTAACTCCCCCGACAACGAAAACCAAAATATTCCTGCATAACAGGGGAAAACCTTTGTGGTTTCGAATAGTCACTTGCCCAAGGTTTTGTAGCTTCGCTCGAATGTCTTCCAGTGGCACGGAATTGAGAAACATACCGGCAACCTGAACAATTAAAGGTATGTACGCGCCTCCAAACACATAGCTGGCACACGTTGGGTGTTTTAGGTTTATGTTATCGGGATCAGCAGGCACTTGTCTCAATGCCTTGGCATTAGCGTGGAACGTACTGGATTTCGGGATTTTCAGGCTCAACTTTGGGATGTTACTGGACTGCGGGAAGTCCCGCAGAAAGCCCAGGCTTATCAGGTTTTTCAAGGCGAAGCCATAGTGAAAGCCAAAGTGGTGTAGAAACTTGCGCCAGTATGTTCTAGTTTCGCTTTCCGACAACTCCTGGGTGATCGACAGCAAGCAAAACAGCCGCAAAGACAACAGCATATCATTCTCCGTCGTGGTTATTTCGTCCAGGTAACTCAGATTTGAGGATTTGTTCGTGTTCTGCATTATGTCGATCTCCACGTTCTTTTGCCTTTCGTATCTGTGCCCCAAAACATTGATAATGCTTTCGGCGGCTAGTAAATGATTGGTGATAAACAGCTTGCGCGACTTCGTCGCTTGCAGTTGGGTTTGAACGTAGCGCTTAATTTCATCGAGCGCCATTTCTTGAGAGTTGATTTTTTCAGTCTTCAGCTGCTTGGTCAGGTGGCTCAGTACCGAGGTAACTTCGGTGAAATATCGGTTTTTAATGTCCGCGTAAACTGTATCTTGTTGACTATTCAGGGCGATGTTCACAGCCTGTTTTTCGCGTACTGGAATGAATTTGTTATCCAACGGTGGTTGATTGGGGGCACTTTTCTCCTCTATGAGCTTCTTGGTATTGCAAACGCCGCACTTTACCGGGTAAACCTCGCTAAGTAATCCAGCGTACACTCCTGGAGTTAGCAGAGCGCTTGAGTAGTCCACACTTCGATCCATCACTATTAGAGCCCCAAAGTCCGAGTCGGTTTTATCGGATTCGCCTTTAATTTCACACAGCTCATCGTACTGTTTCAGGATGTTGATTGAGTGCTGGCCTAAACCGCAGATTACGTTTGGTTTTCCTGCAAGTTTAATGTTTGAATTTCAGGGATCAGTTTTTGGTCAAAACTCACCAACTACCAAGCACAGTTGCCACAATGCCTTTGATAGGGCGGGCATTAGTCCATAGTTTTCATATACAAAAAGCGTGTTGAACACCAAGGGCATTTCCAGGCTTAAAACGCCGCTATCCAGATGCACCGGCATCCACTGGAAGGAATGCAGCTTTACCACACTGTCCAACAGCCCATGTTGCTCTAATTCCTCCTCAAATATGAACAAGGAGCGGGGAATGACTATGACATGGTATTTGTTGCTGGGCGGGTTTTCAATATCGACCTGAGCCCTGATTTGGTTCAGCACTTGGTTGAAAACCTTAAACTCTGGGGGGATCATGTAGAAAATCGGACCATCTTGGTAGTTGGGAGCGACAGCTTCCAGTTTAAATATCCTTTCCACCCCTGAAGCCCTACAAATAATCCATGGATTACCGATTTTTGGGCCAATTCTTGGTTTTACTTTAGCCACTGAAGGCCGCATACCCGCTCCAGCGGGTTGATCAGAGCGGATTCAATCACAAGGTATTTTCTATTGGGGTTGGTCGAGAAAATCTTGGATAGTTGTGCCTTGGAGATTTCCTGCAGGGAAGACAGTTTCTTATAAACGTCCATCTCTAAAGGGGATCTTTAGCCTAAAAGTTATCCTGGATTCGGGGTGTTTTTTATTGGAAGTTTTACATGGTCCAAACCAATGTAAGCTTATATTGAAGTGGCGATAAACAAAATAAAAGCAACGCAAATATATATTTTTTTTGGTTAGTTTGGGATAAGCCGTTCCTTCCTAAAACGGGATTTGGCAACATGTAGAGTATTGATTTTGGCTCATGCAGCATCGGTATGATGGGAGAATTTTATAAAAATTTCACATGCGTGTTTTTTGCGTTCAATCGTTTCCTTTGGACGTGACAAGGTCTCTATCCAACGATGCTAAAACGAACTCTGTGGCTCAAATGGTTCTTGAGAAACTTCGAAAAAAGCAGTGTCATGTTTGAGTCGATTTTGCTACTCAAAAAAAAAGACAAAACGTTTGGATAAAAACTATTTATTGGGTAAAAATAATTACGGCTTATTTAAAGGTGGACAATTTAAAACTAGAGATGAGCTGAACTCGTTCAGACGCAGACTCTATTAGCAGCAACTCTAATTGCTAAAACCGGAAAACGGCAATAAGAAATTTGAACCTCAGGTCGTGGGGTTAGTTAAATAAAATGGATTGAGCGATTAAAACATGCAGGAAGCAACTGGAAGACAATGCGGAACAAAAACAAATGTCTAAAGCAGAAACTGCGAAAACCGCGACTTACTTTGTCCACATTGAACAGCACATCGGAACCGAGCCATGTTCATATAAGTGATGCCATTGTCGGCACAAATTGGATTGTATTCCGACGTTGTTAAGCAGGCGTCTTCGCACAGAGTGCGGGGGGTTCCCATTCCTGGTACTGCCACTGTGGTAACAGCTGCAGTAGTTTCTAAGGGCAAATTAATACTGCTGAATACTCAAGGCAATAATTCAAATAGTTTCACTAACGTGGACGCGGAGAAGTTTGCCTGTTGGAAGGATTCCTGGCCCTAGCAGGTTGCACGGCGTCATTGAAAATGTTGTCATTATCGAAGAAAATAGCGTTGCTGTTTAAATCTGCAATAGAAAGCCACCTTAGTTGGGAAAAACAGAAAAAAACCCGGACACTTTACCAGTATTTTGCAGAGGAAACTGTCGTTTCTGTCTGATGGGCGCATCTTCATTCAAAAGCAGTAAGTTGCCATCAACGCCAATGAGCCAACTGACTGCAACTACTGGAAAATAGAAAAACCCACAACAGTTAATGGAATTTCGAAGAATTGAAGACGCTTCTTGGGAGGCAAATTGATTTATTAGCCACCCGTAGCGGATTTCTATTAACATTCCGTGGACTTTCCAAAATCAAAACCGCATATTCATCACCGAGACGAAACCGACTAATAGGATGTTTTGATACATAATAACATGTTTTGCTTGGCAAGCTTGCAAAGACAATTATTTAAATAACTAGTAGGTTTGCGGCCCCAAAATTCATGCAAAAACGTGGACTTACCACTGAATAAAGTCCACATAACTTCAGCGGGCGATAAACTGGTAAAAAGGCCACTTGAGAGGCTTGTCTTCGTTCATTAACCCACTACAGAGCACAGAAAAAATATGTAGGTCCAGCTCCTCATTCGACCATAGCACATTCGAACTGATTTTCCAATGGGTTGTTTTGCCGGCAATATAGTCGAGCATGGGTGTGTTTATTGTAATTTAATTAATGCACTTGTGGCTAATTCGCTAAAACTCGATTAACCAGTCGATGGCAACTAACCTCGGTGACTAAGTGCGCCTCTAAGTTAAAGGGAATTTATAATTGAAGGCATCGTGACCTTTAAAAACAGCACACAGTTGGGTTTTCAAGAAGCATCGCTCATTAATACGCGGAAGTCAAAATATCGCTTGGAAAGTTTTCCGGGATTTTAGGCCGTTGACTAGTGAAACTGCTTGCCTACTGTGGCGCTTTTCCTACAAAAACTCCAAAAATAGAAACGCTAGAGCTGTGAAACTTCAGCAATTCATTGTCAAGACACACGTTTAGAAATTGCTTCAAATGCGTTCATAGTCAAGGACTTACAAAAATGATCCTTTGGTTCCACGTTTATTCCTTCGCCGGTTTGTCTTCAATATTTCCTTCGCCATTTTGTCAGGACGATAAAAACGCAAAAAACTAGTCAACAGATACCCTATCATACATAGATACATATATTTATTATTCATTTTAAATCATCGATATCTTTTAAAGGTTCGATTATCTTTCAAAAACTGCCAAAGTGTGAGCGTCTTGGACATCAAAAACAATTTTGCCTTTAGCCCATCAGGACGTTCGAATTTAGTGCTTCCTCCCAGCGGGAAAAAATGCATCTTTAGTTAAACAAAAAGGTACAAGATAAGACTATAATTTCAAGCATGAGACCATTTCAGGCGCAAATTGAGTCAGCGCGCTCATGTCGACACCACTGGATAGAGCACTAAGGCTCGATTGTATACTTGGAAGGTAATAGGGACTAACTCGAATAAACTCTGTGTATATATATTTAGATACCTACTATATGCATATAATACTTAAAATAATTCAGAAATAACCTTAGACTTAGGTAACTGCTACATGTAGTCTGTGACGGTATGTTCACAGCTTCTTTGGATGGTTATGTGGGGGTATTGCTGTCTCCAAATGGCTACCTGAAACCCCATTAAGTGTGAACCCGAAAAACGATACTAATCTCAGTTAGTTATACCTCCTCCTGCCTTACTCCATCGCAAAAGCTGATGTCCAAGAGCCGCAATTTGGGCAGACGGAACAGCGCCTTTTCGCACAACTCTGAGCTGATGTTCTTTATGCCGATCAAGTCGAGCTGAGTCAGATCCTTGCAGGAGATGATTATGGGCATTAGGGACTGATCGGTGGCGCCTCGCCATTGTGATAAAATCAACCTAGATCACACCCCAGATACATTTAGGGCGCTCCAAGAATGTTACTATATGCAATTACCGCTTTAGACGTTTACAGCCATTAGCTATTTCCGCCAGTGAGTCCCCAGGGACACTGTCCAATAGGCACCAGCCCAAATCGAGCTCTTCCAGGTTCGAACAGAGGCTGAACTTGCGAACCGCGTCGCTTGTAAGCGAATCCGTTTTCCATGAACTCCAGGTTTTCAGCTTTTTGTTGAACAAAGTCACCGTCTCCACCACACTGTTCATCATAAACAAATGCTCGCATAAATCTGGAAAGAGTTTTGCTACTGAATTATGCCATCTGCTGGCAAGCCAGAATCGCTCGAACCCAAAACTAAATGCTCCAAATTCGGGTTCGCCATCAGAATTTGGATCAGATCTTCGTCGATAATGTTCGTGATGCTTAGGTCTAATGTGACCAGCTTTGTTAGCTGGTCTTTTGGCCATCTGATCCAGTTAAATGTGTGATGGAGTCTTAATTCTACAAGTGGATACGATTTTCGCATCGAAATTGCGCTCTTTGCAGTTGATGGTTACTGACCAGTGAGTTCTTTGCAGCATACTATTTTATTAAGCACATCTGAATCCACAAAGTAGTTGTCGTTCATCGATAAGTGAGTGATTGTTCTGCTACTTTCTTCTAAAAGACTTAAAACACCCCATTAATATACCGCGTGGACCAAAAGAATGGAACAGTCTTAATAGCTTGTTCTTTCTTCTCTTCGTTGAGAACCGATCGACACAAAATTCCCACTGGTTTCAGACCAGTGCAGAACAGACTAGAACTAGAAAAAGTGCATGGATTGCTTTCTGTATTCGCTGTCCTATTTCTAGATCAATGACCAACATATTCCGGATAAATCGTTGGGTTGAACAAGACGATGTGCCGCCCCAATGAGATCATTCGAATGGCCAGCTCGCTCACCCGATTTGACTCCCTGACGTCAACCAAACCAAGTCGCGGACTCGAGATAAGGTATGTTACATCAAAAATATTCAGAACCTTGAGGAGAATTCCAAAATAGACTTGCATCCTTTCGCGATTTTTCTACACTATATGGAGTGTTCCATTCTTTTTGCCCCCGCTTTGTATCGAACTCAAAACTGCATTTACCTTAGTATCTTACAGTGATAGTCATAGTCCAGTCTTTTATTGAAGGATATTTGGTATTGATTGCACCACGAAAGATCCAGCTTTTTCACGTTTTGAATTTTGTTGATGAAGAAATCCAGTGTTTGTTCGTTCACCAGATACCAATAGATCTGAAAGCAGAGTTGAACGGTCTGACCGCCTGCAGATGAAAAGGTGTGCGGTCGTTACCTTTAGGCTGATGTTGCGATATAGCGTTTGATCTTGAGCTAATTTGTTCCATCGTCTGTTCACTTGAGCGCAGCGACTCAACGATTTTAAATCCAAGCATTGAAATACCTTTAGAATAATTTCGTTCTACAATTTAAACAAATAGTCATTGATTGAAATTGGATGGTTGAGAGTGTTCACCGGTAGCAAGTTGATGTAGTCAAAGGCCAATTTGTCGTTGAGCGTAACACAATTTCGGTTTGTTTCCCAATAGCCAACGGTGGCTGAATTACTTGATGTCGCCAGCTTGTTTTGAGTTAAGCCGCGCCTGATGAGCTCAAATTTGATAATAGTCCTCGGCTGATATCCACAAAGCAGGACTCCGTCTATTGCAGTGTGATAGTCTAAATGGCTTTGATTGAATTCGATCCGCAGGATACTGAAAGAGCAATTTAGTTGATTTGCCCATTGACTTTTCCCTCCTCACGCACTTAATAAGGTAATTGATTTTTCTTAGAGGTGGCGTAAACTTGCGTGACGTTGCCGCACACTTTTGCGGAAAGCCTTCCCAAAGTAAATGCCATTTAGTGTCCGAACTCAGACGGCCCCAGATTCGGATCACAGCGCCCGGATTATAGACTTCGTAGATGAATACTTCCCTCGGCACCACTGCACTGCCGAATCTGCAAGGTAAGCTTTTAGGACTGTTCGGCAACGAGCCAAGATGCTTACTCTAAAGTTACAAAGTCTTCTGCGTTCAATAAGTCGAAGTCTTGAGGCCGGTACTCCTTTTGGGCAGAGCCGCTATACCTCCACCATTTCCCATAAGATCTCTGCAGAAATATTGTTGATGGTTTTTCGGTTTAGGCTTGTTTGTAAGCCATTTGCAGCTTACCAGAAAATAGGCCTCTGGAAAGTCTCCATAGGAGGGATATTTCTCATATTTTCCCAATAGATTTGTGGGCGAATAACAATAGTTTAACTGATTGTTGTATCTCGAACTGTAATGAACCACTGATTGCACGTATTGCTCCAGATATTGCATTTTGAACACGTCTTCCACTGGGAAGAACCTCTCCGAGGTGTCCATCGCGGTAGAGGCTAAATTTTTAAATTAAAAGTATCGTATACTTTATTAAACAAGTCTAGATCAGGTGCCTTAACTATCATCTGACTCAACGTCACAACAATAGTGAAGTCAGAGACAAGTAATAATCCCTTGTCTCTGAGTGAAGTTGTCGCAGATCGATTTTAAATTGGGTTATGTACGGGCTCTACCAAAAGAGCGCACTTGAATTTGAAAATTTAGTCCTCGTTTGCTAGAGCACAATTTTCCTGGCCCGTACGGTTCTTATGCGCAAAATAATGCGAATAACCCGTAAACTTTGAGGAAAACTTTGAACAGTGTTGCATGAGTGCTGAAACTTCCCCAAAGTTTAGTTTCACACAGGTAAGAGCTTTTTGCTCATTTTAATAGGTCAAACTAGGGGCGGATCCAGCTTTAAAGTCAGGGGGGTTATGTAGAAAAAATACAGTCTTCTGTTGCTTATTAAATTCAAGAAGTTTTACCTTGGAGTTTGTTGTAGTTGGAGTTTCGGAAAGTTTTTAGTCAGGAATAAAGTAATTAGTCATTTTTTACAACTTATTCACGTTTATTTCTAGTGGTATTGGGCCTCGATGACGATTCCATGCATAAGGAATTGAAGAAATTGCCCTGATCATCAAAGTGTCGAGTTTTCAGCAAAAAATCCCTAGCCAATGCATTCTGGCTGAAATTGTAGTTGAGGGCCCCCAGTTGGCTTTTCTCCAATAACTCCGTAACTTCCTCCAGTCGTTCCCGTCGATTGTCTTGGTGCATCCCCAACGGCGCAAAGTACTCGTACAGGCCCTTAAACTTCACCCTTCTAGTGGCAGGTCGACTCTTTTTTACCACCGCTTTCGGCTTATCGAAATCTCCTGCACCCTCATTGGCTGAAAATACGCTGAATATCTTCGCGAATAAATTGGGCTGAATGGGCTCCTTCACCACCAGCGCCTCACTTTTCGATGAACCGGAATGGAAGGATTTTGTTGTACCTGCAAAGCAGTGCAAAGGCAGCTATTGGCTAAAAAGAAACTTAAATTTCAACTGAACAATCGTACAAAAACTGAGTTGACGCGAAGCTGGTCTGTGGAAGGTCTCCACCTTGTACTCGGGCACTTTGTCGAACAATTTGGCGATCAGATGCCCAATGTAGGGCAAATAGGGCGGATTTTGGGAGAAAACAAAGAAGGTTTTCTGGTAGGACGGCATTCTGGGGTCTCTGTACAGCCGGCAGAGAAACTCAAAGGCCCTGCAACTGAGCCTCATATCACTCTCACTAAGCGCGTTTCTAAACGCTGACTCACTGATATTTGGAAGAGTGTTTCTTCCTCACATAGGCCCATGTTCTTCGCAGCCTGAATATCGCCGGGCTCTGCAATCCGCTCAACACCGAACGACATGAATGAAAGTTTGATATGCGATGGCACTTGTTGGCAATATTGATGAATCTGGCCATTAGTCTTGCCCGAGTCTAAAAAGCCTTAAATTGGTTTTAAAGAACACTTTTGAATTAATTTACCTTTTCCGTATCGTGGCGAAGAATCTCGCTGGCGGTCAAGCAGCTAATCCGGTGCGAAAATGCAATCATGGCCCCAACATTTGGGGCGTTTTGGCAACTTTGTTGCCACAAAAGATTGCTCAATTCAGACGGGGAGACTTTCAAAAACAAATCCTTGTCAATCATCGTGAGCTGTTGAGCCACCGTTGTAGAATCAAAGTCCCAAGCAGTCAGCTCGACGTCCAGTTGAAGAATTCGTTTCATGAATTGCAGCGGGGACTCACCGGGACGCTTACATTGAGCTAGAGATTGGTTGAAGCCATTGGATCTTTCACCTTTATGTGTTTGGGAAACTTGCCCAAGTCTGCCCAATCTTCAAACTTGGACCCCAACATATTGGAGATGAAGCTCGGCTTCCTTTTCTTTTTCTCCATTAGATAGTTTTCGTTGTCGTCATCCGATTCCTTGGCTTTGCTGGTGCTGAATCGCTTCAAAAACCTTCGTCCAGTAGTGCATCTCTTCCCTAAGCACCAATCTGATTCAAATTAAAAACCCTCAGTTCTGGAAACTTACTTTTACGCTTCAGTTCCGATTCATGATGGTTCCTAATCTTCTTCAGGTGCTTCTGCAACTCGCCGTAGGCATCTTTAGCTGAAATCGGCCTGTACCAGTAGCCGGGAGTCCAGAAGAAAATCACTGGCTTCTTAGGCGCGTTTCTGTAATTAAATGTTTTTTAGTTGACGCTTAATCGCCCGTTCAGATTGAATGAGACGCGACATAAATTGCGTATCTACATAATATTGTTAGTGCGGAAGTTGTCGTCATCAGTTAGCACGGGACTGGACACAGTGGCACAAAGCTGGCGCTTAGAGACCGGCAGCTTCAACTCCTTGTCCGCATTCTGCTTCCTCATATTTACATCCGATAGGGCCCTCTTCAACTGTAAGGAGGTTCGGTCCCCTTGCGAGACAGTCCAAGGGCCCAATCCATAGAGGAACAACGGCTTTGGGGCATATCCATACCTTCTCCTATGTCGCATCCTAGTAGGGTTTATCAGAGAAAGTTATAGCGATTAGAGAATGCTACACAGATAATGAAAGAAATATTTCATTTTACTGGCACCTACTTGCGATTGGTGGTGAGACCGTAATACTCCCAAAGAAGAACGGCGGTTTCGGCAATTTCTTCATAATCAATCGAGCCGCAGTCGATGCTCAGATTGGAAGAAGTGCTTCTGAAGATGGTTGAGCTGAATCGTCTGGGAACGATATAGTCGTCGAATGTTAAATACAAGCCGGTTCCGCAACCTTCCAATATTCCAGATCCGAACCTGTTGACCTGCACACTTGCTCCAAATGAAAGGTTCTTCTCTTCGGCCAGCGCAGGACATGCGAGCTCGATTGACCTGCAACAGCTTAGGTTTGCATCAGAAACGCAAAATGTTGCAAATGCTCACTTTTTTGGTCCCTTTTTGGATTTAACAAACTCTCTTAAATGGGGCAACCGCATGATGGGCTGATAATCCAGAGAAGATTCCAGGAAATTCCGACCTAAATAGAGATATCGGTCTGTCCAGTTCTTTACCCGAGTCTACTATTTATGAAAGGACAATTAGAACTCAATTTTGAGCACGCGGTTATTTCGTACCTGACTGTTAGCAGCTACCACCTCATTGATGAAACGCGTATTCACTCCAAAGTTGGGTCCGAATTTGCACCATAACTGTTTGATGCCGTTCAGGCTGACTACTTTCTTGTCCACCAAGTACAAGCTGCTGCCGGTGGTCGAAGTTGCGACGGAAGTTTCCGAGCGAGACGTTCCAGAATCTCCAGGGCATAGAAACTTTACTTTTTCGCACCACAAGTTCCAGAACATCTGGATTCAAAAGGTCAATCAAGGAGTGTTTGAACAGTCGGACCCAAATGTGTTGAACATCGGAATGAGGAGGAAAGGACTCAAGGGCGGATCCAGTCTCTTTCTGGGTCAAAACTACTCGAATTTCCTCACTCACGTT